GAAACGAGGAGAGGCAAGACTGTCGGCAAGGGATCGACAGTAGTTTGTATCTTTTTAAAACTTATTACCAGCCTCGCCAAATTAGTAGTAATGTGTTAGGCTCGCCACAGAGAATCGCAACGCGTAGTTATTTCAAAAATTTGGAGCAGTATTGTAGATAAACATAATGGCGACGCCAACGCCCTTATCTCAGTGGAATATTTGCGTATTTGTTTCAGATAAAAAGTTTACCGGATTTTTGTGGAACTTTCTTCCATATTCGCGTACTATTTGCCACATTAGCTGCATGCAGGTCGTCTTTTCTTTTCCATCTTCTCCTGAAAAAAGCGTTTCTCTGTCTTATTACTGAAACGAAGTGGAGCATTGTGCAGAAGACGTGGGAAGCAGCAGCAAATACAGTGCGTTTCATAACTATTAGGTTGTCATAAGTAGTGTCGCTTTTTTTCAACCAAAAATTTTCATCTAAATCCCATGCTTTCATATACCATTCGAAAGAGAATTGTCTGCTCTACAAGATGCTGTTCCACTTCCACCTCTGTTCCAGGGTTTTCAAATTTTAGGCCTGCGAAATGGGAGGTCCAGCCGACAAAAATTGACCAAACCGACAACTATCTCTAACTTTATCTTCCCTTGGGAGAAATCAATCAATGATGTACCCTCTACTTATACATGACCTCTTCTAACATTACACTATTAGGTTTCCCAACAAGTCGCGTCGTTCCATTTCCAGACCTGGTTTTTCAACCAGAACTCGACGGTCGAGCACCATTACCTGAGATCTAGGTCGAAATTTTTTTATAGCCGAGACATTGAAAAACTGGTAGAATTTAAAGAACAAGTCATAAAGCACCTTACTCCTAAACACCTAAAATTCGAGCTAATTCCTAACAAACATTGAAACAAAACAAATGAGCGAATAGAGCAGAAGAAGTGCTCACAAAAGGAACACCACTTGATATGAAACAATAGCGTTTCAGAGGAAGAATTTCAATTTGAAAATTGCCATGGCTTATCGGTCAGGCCAATTCGAAAAAAACAGGGCAAACTTTTTCGGCAACCTAAGAGGTGGAATGTTCAGAAGAGGTCATGAGTAAGTAGAGGGTACATCATTGATTGATTTCTCCCAGGGAAAATAAAGTTAGAGCTAGTTGTCGGTTTGGTCAATTTTTGTCGGCTGGACCTCCCATTTCGCAGGCCTAAAATTTGAAAACCATGGAACATAGATGGAAGAAGAACACAACATCTTGTAGAGCAGACAATTCTCTTTCGAATGGTATATGAATCGATGTAAAAGCATGGGGATTTAGATGAAAATTTTCGGTTGGAAAAAAGCGACACTATTTATGAGACAACCTAATAAATATGTATAGCCAATAATGTTCTATATTTCCAACCGTTACACACCTTCAGGTTAGGGCCTGATCAACCTATAATCTGATATGGAGGTCCCGTGGTGTAGCGGTTAGCACTCAGGACTCTGAATCCTGCGACGGGAGTTCAAATCTCCCCGACTTTTCTCCTACAATGTCTATGGTCTTCTGCTCTTATGAAACACCATGTATCATTCCACATGTTTGAAAGAATTCGTGTCTTCCAGTGTTGGCGAATGACAACGCTGTTGTGAGCGAGGACGTGGTTACTTGATTCGGGTAACTCTCCGAGCGCTCCGACCTCACCTGCACTTTTATTGTCATTATGTCATTTGAAGTATTTCCCGACAACACTATATCTGGAGAACACCTGCAAGAATCTGAGAGCCCGAGGACGAGACTCACTGTAAGGAATGACTGTCGGTCCACGTCCTTCGATAGCTGGCGGGCCTCGACTGATTGTACCGATGGAGGTCAGTACTAAGGACCCGCGATATAGGAAGGTCGAGCAGGGTGAATATCGCTTGAGGATTCCTCAACGGCACGTCGAGGATTCTCTGCCCGATCAGAGACGATCTCTCGCGCGGACATTCACACTCGCCATGCCGTGCCGTCTGTGCTCTCCGCGCGGATGTTCACTCTCGGCACTACTCTCGCATGGTAGAGAGCTATGGTCGAGGAAATCCTCGACCGTTATTCACCCTGGTCGGGAGTCGTCAATCGTCACTCACTACCTCCACCTCCGCCTTCCCCTTTCTCATAACCCTTATAATAAATATGTATAGCCAATAATGTTCCATATTTCCAACCGCTACACACCTGCAGGTTAGGGCCTGATCAACCTATAATCTGATATTTTCGAAATAGCATAGTCATTACTTCAGATGACCAGCGACACTATATGCAAATGCACCTCAAAAGGTAACCTACAGCAGTGGAGGGCGACATACGGAAATCGACCATGTGCTGTAAGAAGATCATCCCTCAGAAACTGTGAAGGATATCAAGGTACTCCCTGGCGAAGAACTGGCTCCCCAGCACAGGCCCCTCCTGGCAGACATTGCCATAGACCTCCCCAAGAAGACAAGGGTAAGAACCGAGAGGAGAATCCGGTGGTGGAAGCTTGCACCAAGCGGAGAAGATGACCTCAAACGAAGGATAATGGAAGTTGGTCTCCCAGATCCTAACGGGCCAATACAGCGGACTTGGGGCAACGCGGCTGAGACCATCCTGCGATGTGCCAAGGAGGTACTGGGCGAGACGCGAGGTGGATTCAGAGGAGACAAGGCAGCGTGGTTCTGGAACGAGGAGGTCCAGCGAGTTGTGAGGGCAATGAAGGAAGCGTACAAGCGTTAGCGGATATTCCAATGCTTGATTTTCCATGGGGGAAGTGGCCGACCGCTTCCGCGCTTCGCCGAAATTCTGAAACACCGATATGGTGTCCGTTTTTTCTAGGGGCTTAGACCACCAACCAAGAGGTTTGTTAATTTATTTATTCATTCATTTATTTATTTATTCATGATGTTAAATAAGGCAGACGTGAGAAAGCAAACCAGAACACAGTATAGCAATTCACCTACAACTAAGAGTAACTCAACAAAACCTTCTTAGCGAGGCGTTTGAAGTGCATAAAAGCAGGAGAGAGTAGTGCTACTTTTGATTTAAGAGAGATGAAAATTGATCCTGCTCTACAGGTGAAGCTGTGAGCTTCAAATTGGTTCGAGGCGTTGCGTATGAAATTTTCACAGATCCTCCTGGTTCTAGATTCGACCCTACTGAAGAATTTGACGCATCAACCCTGGCAAGCCCAGTTAGTATCTTAAATACCATGCAAGCATCATATACTTTCCTACGTGGCTTTAGGCAATGTAGTTTGAAACTTTTATTTTTAGTGGCGAGACTTGCTAGAGACCGCCGCTTGCCCTCACTGTACATACTTGACGGGTACAGCTGTTCTGAAATTTTTTCAATTAACTCCTCATCGTTCTTTATAGGAGGGTAAAAGACCGTCGCACATTAAGCAATTGGCCTAAAATACGTCATTGTATGCTTTGATTAATATTTCTTGGAAAGTGACTGTCAAGCCCTTCAAATATTTGGTATGTTCGGAAAGTAGCTTCCCTAAGGATGACCTCGTAGATATCAGAAAAGCTAACTTGTTATCATAATGAACTCTGGGACCTTGACAGCGGTGACTTCGCTTGAGAACATGCTCTCCAAGTCGGTAGTCTTTTGACAGTGCGGAACAATATAATCTCATGAAATACGGTCTTTTCAGGTGCAAGAGGTAGCCTCCATGAACTCAGACCAGTGCGACATAGAATCCAAAGAACTTTGAATACTCCTTTTATCATCCATACTTTAAATTTCCTATACCCTTTGATGTCATCTGCAAACCACTGGCAAACATTACTACATCCCTCCAAAAGCACGGGCACCTCGGCAGTGTAGATAGCGAACAGGATAGGTGATAAAACACCACCTTGAGGGTTGCGCAGAAGAGATACATGCCCCGAATGGTGAGCGAGGAAGCAAGAAAGGTCGCGCTGGTCTTTGAGCCCATCGCAAGCTGAGTGTGTAGGGAAGGATTGAAATATAATTGTGACATACTAGCAAACTAAGAAATCGTCTTAGATCAACCCTTTGGCGACAATGGCACCCACCGGTGGGTGCCACTATGTGCGCCGCGTGGGACAATGGCACCCAATGGTGGGTGCCACCCTAAAATTTTCCTTCTTTGCGCATTTAAAACATTTTCAACATTCTAGTAATTATAAGCAAGCTTCGTGATGTCTATGTATAGCATGGCTAACAGAACTGTTTGATAGGAGCTCAGTTACACAAATTTCAGTGTGCGGTATTTAGGTCTTCAGTAATTCAACTGAGTTTTAACATTATTAGACTTAAGATTAATTACTGGTCAAGACTTATCCGTCCTTACATGGTCTTCGGACACAGGGAGGTTTGAATTGTGTCCAAAATGCGATTATACCTAAAAACTCCTCGAGTTTTTGTCCTCCATTCCTTTGAATTCCGAGATCCCTTCTAAACATCAAAATCTCTTACCATCAATGCCTTGTACGAAATACGAAAACGAAATCTGTAGCTATATTTTTTATCTTGCTGAAAAGGAAAAAAGCTAGAAAAACTGCTTTAGGGACAATTTTGCCCAATGTTGAGCGAGAGTTGGGCGCGCCAAAAAGAGGCGTGGTCCCACGAGCACGCTACGTGCAAATCCGCATTGTCGTCAAAGGGTTAAGCGATCGAAATCGCCTGCAGGTGATATGTTGACCGTTTGGCATCTCATTGCTAGGAAAAGTTGTATTTCACTATCCCTAATTGTAAGCCATTGAGCATGAAATAAAGGAGTGCTTCTAAGTAGGTAGACGCCCAAGCTCCAAAATCCTCATCTTTGACAATGGTTTTGCAGAGAAAATAAACGTGATGTATGAAGCCACTGTTTTTATATTACACCTGCAAATTTGTTGGCAACATCTTTAGCTGTTCGTGTAAAATTCATGAGCACAACAGGGCTAACCCAACTCAAAAAGGGTGATCTGCTCCGTTGTATCCAGCATATCACCAATGTCTGCTGATGTCATCGTATAGCGCGAAAATAAGCCGTTATCGTTCTGCATTTGAAACCTCTGATGACTCATGCAATCTTCATTTCAATGAAAATTCTATGCCAAGTCGTGCAATGCATAGATGCAGTGAAAATTGGACGTCACTAAACTCATCTGAAGTAGCAGCGAATAAACATCAAATCCCAATATCTCGTTTCATCGTATTCGCAGTAGCATCCATATTTTATTTTGCCGCTTAGACGATTCATCTGAATGAATTAATGGAGAAGGATTTAGCCACGACTTAAATATATTCACCTAAAGAGAAGCAGTCATAAAATAGTCCCAAAAAAGTCAGTGTAATTGTTTGATAAATATCAC